TGGTGTTCAAGAGTTATAAAGAGCTCTTGTAGCTACTACCATATTCATCTGAAGACATCCAAAATTCTCTGCTCTCTGAAACTAAGCAGATTCAGGAATAGTTAGTACTTGGATGTGACTTTTGGTCTTTGAACCATGCAGTGATACCTATACGTCAAGCCTCCTCCTAGATAGCGCTCCCTGGAGACGTTTTCTTCAGGTGACCTCAATTCTGACATGTAGCTTTTGTTCATAAGGTCTTCAGCTCTCCCTCAGGACACTGCCTGTCTTTTACGAGGTCCTGATCGATGTTTGGAACATAGTGGACTCGGGCCAGGTCTTCCTGTCTGACAATATCCACAGCTTAGGAATCCGCATCACCACCATTGCAGGTTTGAGTGGGAGGGGAAGGCTATGGCTGAGGGGCTGACCAGAGTCAGCAACGTTCTGGGCGGCAGAGCCCTGGGCTTGATGTTGTTGCGGGAACTGGCAAACAGAGCAGTGGTGGACATCCAACAACTACAAACTTTTGTTGTGTCAGGTATGACTCAACCAGCACTGAACCTCTCCTCCTCCTCCTCCTCCTCTTCCTCCCCGCCCCCATCTCCTTTGACTTCAGTCTCCCTTCACCTTATTGATGGCACAATTGGTCACTCTTACTTCCCACTCATGAACTTCTACAACAACATTTTGGAGATTAAAGCTTCTCTTCCATTAAGCAGCAAGGAGAAACTCACTAGTTTGCAGAAGCTCCTTCCCAGAGGTTTTTCTTTGGGTACAACAACCCAGGTGCTGGCAGCTTTCAGCACCTTAAACACATGCACTTACAAGAACAGGCATGAGTGGTTATGGGCTGTTCTACTATATAGGCATCACAGTTGTCTCCATGACGCCCTCTGAAAGTACAAACTGATTTAGCAGCAACATGGCTCAAGTTTAACAGATACACCCCCTCTGCTGTTTCCCTGCTTCACATTAGCTAAAAGCGCACAGGCCAAGGAGCAAACATGGAACTATCAATCTGTATATCACTCACATTACACTGGGCAGCCTCCATCCAATAAGGCCAAACACTGCAAGGAATTGAAGAAACATCTCTTACGAGCTATTGAAAGCTGGTCATTTCAGCAGAAGCAGAAAGACAAGTACTCTGGGAGAACGTGGAAAATGAAACCCAATGCTTCTTCAAAAGAGTCTTCTGATTAAGTACAATCAATTGTTTGAAGTACATTCAATGGGAAATGAGGAAGAAATTAGTCATAAGAATTTCCGAAGTCACATGACACCAGGTTATAGTCCAACACATTTATTGTCACAAGCTTGTGGTTTCAAATAAACCCGTCAAATTATAATCTGGTGTCGTGTGACTTCTGACCTTGTCCACCCCAGTCCAATACCTCCACATCATGAGAATTTCTGATAGGTAAAAATAGGTTTAGGTGCATTCTGCTGAAGAAATATCAGATCAGAAAGTTTCCAGAACCGAAGAAAATACTTTGGGTCTTTACCCTTATTTTTTCAAAATCAACTAAATTCTACATCTCAAATCTCTTGCTAGAAATTTGCTGCTGCTCATGTTGAAATGTCCAATGTGCTCAGAAACACGTTCCAAGACCTTAAACTGTGAATAGCAGAAAGGGCATGTAGCGCTTGAACATTATATCATTTCGAAAACTCTCAAAACTAACTACAGGTAGTTAGTGTCAGATCAAGGACATTTGAGCGATTCTCCATTCAGAAGCAAATGCCAGCCACAGCAGAACCTGCACTTTGATCATCTCTGTGCAGAAATGGTTCAAGCTCCTGACAAAAGACTAGCACAAGCTTTATAATTCTAGGCTAGTGGACACTATAAAAACACCCACTTGCAATTCTACAATATCTTTAACATAATAGCACTTCCCAAGGAAGTTTACAGAAGCATTATCAGACATATTTGACAGAGGGCAGTTGACCAAATTCTTGATCAAGGTAGTAGGTTTCAAAACCTTTATGTACAGATTGAAACAGGAATTTTCAGTACTTAGGTCAGAATTAGAAATGCATAGAGACCTTGGAAAGTTGCATGACTGGAGAAAAATACAAATATAATGAGCGGTAAAGCAATGAAGAGGTTCAAAATGGAGAGATAAAACCATAAAAGAAATCCAAAAAAAAAATCAGAAATTTTAAAAATCAAAACATTACTGAACCTGGAGCCAGTGCAGGTCATCAAGGTGATAGGTGAACAGAGATAGGTTATGGTGTGTACAACAATACAGCTCTCGAATCAGCCACTGGGATACACGTGCACAGATCTGCCAAACCTGGAAGCAGAGGCAGATGGCAAATAGAACTAACACAGAGAAACTGGGAAGATAAACTACAGATTCTTCACCAACCTTAGCCAAGATGGTAAACAATGTAAAAACAGAATGTTAGGATGAACAGCTGAGTACAAGTGCAGACTCAGGAAATTATGAGTGCAGCCCTCAGCATATTGATATGGTTACATGTTGTGATTGTCTTCCAATTCATAATTACACTGTTTTTCCAGCCACTAGTATTTTAATTCCAGATGACATTTCTATAATTCTCAAAAAAGGTATACTTTCATGTTAGCAACAGCTACTCAAGTTTAATGTATTCTTGCAACAATTCTTCATAATGTAGTATTGTTATCAACTACTTGACAATTGAAGTCATAATTACAATTAGCCAACTATGAATTATGCAAAATAAAAACCGAAAGAAATGCAAATACTGTAAATCAGGAACAAAAACAGAAGTTGCTGGAAAAGCTCAGCAGGTCTGGCAGCATCTATGAAGAAAAAAATCAGAATTAATGTTTCGGGTCCGGTGACCCTTCCTCAGGACCTCTACATTGCAGAGGCTAAGCGCCAGCTCTCAGATACCTCCTCCTATCTTCCCCTGGATCACGACCCCACCAAGATGCATCAGGCCACTGTACCTACTACAGTAACTGATCTCATTTCATCTGGTGACCTGCCCCCCCTCCACCACTGCTTTCAAGCTGATAGTGCCCCAGCCCCGCACAGCTCACTTCTACCTCCTTCCAAAAAGCTACAAAACAGGACTGTCCTGGAAGACCCATTGTTTCAGCCTGCTCCTGCCCCACAGAACTCATCTCTTCTTACCTTGACTCAGTCTTCTCTTCCCTTGTTCCAATCGCTGCCCACGTACACCCATGATTCCTCTGACGCCATACGTTGGTTTCAAAACTTCTAGTTTGCAGGTTCTAGCCGCTCCTCTTTACCATGGACATGCAATCCCTTTACACGTCCTTTCCTCACCACGAGGGTCTTGGGGGTCTCCGCTTCTTCCTGGAGCAAAGACCTGAACCATCTCCATACACCACCGCCCTCCTCCACTTGGCGAAGTCTGGCCTCACCCTCAACTTCTCTTAACTCCTTTTGTTCTCTTCAGGTCAGAGGGGTGGCCATGGGTATCCGCATGGGCCCCAGCTATGCCTGTCACCTTGTGGGGTATGTGGAACGTTTCTTATTTCAGTCCTATTCTGGTCCCCACCCACAATTCTTTCTCTAACATATCAATGCTGCTTCTCTCTCGTCCAGAATTGGAAAAGTTCATCAATTTCACTTCCAATTTCCACGCTGCCCTCACTTTCACCTGGTCTATCTCTGACTCCTCCCTTCCATTCCTCAACATCTCTGTTTCCATTTCTGGGGATAAACTGGCCACTAATATCCATTATAAACCCACTGACTCCCACAGCTACCTAGACTATACATCCTCAACCCTGCTTCCTGTAAAGACTACATCCCTTTCTCTCAGTTCCTCCAGAGTTCTGAGGAAGGGTCACCAGACCGGAAATGTTAACTCTGATTTTTTTCTTCCACAGGACTTGACTATATTATCTCAGCTTTCACTCCAGCATTACATTAAAAAGAGTGGTCCATTGTTATTGTTATTACCTTTTGGACTGGGGATTGAACAATTCTGTTCATACAATTTTAATACAAGCCTCAAGAAACAAGAGCACATGATCCCAACTGACACATTAAGGAGCAATGAGGGTTAGAGCTCTGTGTTTGCACAGACACAGAGGGTCTGACTACTTCCGTGGCAAACTGGGAGATGACGTCAAAGGACTCACTATGCTAGTCAAAAAAAAGGACAGTTCTGCCTAGTACAAAAACAGAAGTTGCTGGAAAAGCTGAGCAGATCTGGCAGCATCTGCCAGACCTGCTGAGCTTTTCCAGCAATTTCTGTTTTTGTTCCTGATTTACAGCACCCGCAGTTCTTTCACTTCTTATTCAGTTCTGCCTAGTGTCCTGACCAATCTTTAACCCTGAACCAATGTCACGAAAACAGGGTAACAGTGATGATTCAGTTCTGAGGAAGGGTCACCGGACACGAAACGTTAATTCTGTTTTCTCCTTCACAGATGCTGCCAGACCTGCTGAGCTTTTCCAGCAACTTTGTTTTTGTTCTTGATTTACAGCATCCGCAGTTCTTTTGGTTTTTTTTTTAAACAGTGATGATTTTCAATTGCCGGTTGTTATGTGCACAACCATACATGTGATTACAAGGATTTTAAAAGTACTCAGTTGGCTGTAATATCACTATGAAACGTCCAGATAATGTGCAAGGAACTACATAAGTCCAATCCCTGGACCTGAGCAGCCATGGGGATAGTTGGTTGTGGGGAAAAAAATACCGGTTCCAATGCCCCTGACTGCCTCTGCTGAGATGCAAGGAAGGTTTGATCCCACACCTTATAGCAAGAGGAAAGGAACCTTGTGCTCCCACCAACAGCTCGGGCGGATGGCGGAAGCTTGCTGCGTTGACGAACGTGGAGACAGTCCAACCAGGAATCACCATCCCGGCGGATGCCACCCACTATCGCTGTCAATCAACGGGGCTGCCCAATGGGCGCGGCGCAGGGGCAGGGGCAGGGTTGGTCTAGTGGGGGAAGAGAGGTGTGAAGGCAGCGCCGTCTCCCCGGGGCCGGGCAGGCCGAGAGCCCTGTCACTGAGGCAGCAGCCGCCCTCACATACCCTTTACTGTGTACATGCTCCTCTTCATTCTCACAGTCACTGCCGCAGCCATCCTGCTCCTCCATGTCTTTTGTTGCTGTCTCATGATCGTCTGCCATGATTCAGGATCGACCACGATTAGGCGACTCGCGCAACAACGCTGCTGCCGATTGGTCCGTTCCCCACCCCTTCCCCCAGCTACCTCTCCCATTGGCCTCCGGTACGCAGACGTCGGCGCGGCATTACGACAGCTGGGTGTTGGGAATGCAGAATGCTGGGAAATATAGTCCGTCGATGGCGAGTGGTGCCGCTGTAACAAGCGGATATGTTGTCATAGAAACTACAAATACCAGCATGCAATACAAGCACGTGGGACAGGATTTTTTTTAGTAACCTTTTTAATTCGGAACTAGTCGTATACATTTTTAACAGAGTGTTGATAAATTGTCCCTAAGCGTAATTCACTCCTTTCTAGCTATATATATGTATACTCTCCCCGGCTGCACGGTCTCAACCCAGCAACCTGGTTGCTATGAACTGAGTAAAACTCCGACTGATTGGCCGGTGGACCGACAAACGACCAATCAACGCATATGTCCTTTGAGGGTGCACTGAGTGCGCAGGCGAGTTTGTCGGCCCGAGGCACCGGGAGTCTGATTAGAGTGAGTAGGGAGGGGTCGAATTATCTGAAGAATAGCGCAAACCGGGAACGGTGGTGGAGGAGGTGGGTTAGGTTTTTTCCCCCCTTTGTGGCCAAGCTCCGCTTCAGAGCTGGTAACCGGCTCTCTGTGTTTCCTCAGCTTGTGTCTAATCTCTCTGCTGTCTTACACCAGTGTCATTAATATACCTTGGGACCCTGCGCACTTCCACTGTGTGTGGCATCGCAGCTGCGTTCAGTGTGACCCACTCAGCTTTAGCGACAGGGACCAGCACGCTTAACACCAAGTTGTAAGGTCCTTCGCTTAATTCAGCAAAGACCAATTTTCAATCTGTGAGAATCATGGCATGGTTACTGTATAGAGACTGTTCGGCTAGTCCTATTCCTGCCAGACTTCTGCAACGGGTTATAAATACAAAACAAAGTGGCTTTATTGACTGACTGAAGTTAATGGATCCTTAGTGTATAAAGGTATTGTGGAAAGGCCCACCAGGAATTGTGTGTGCACTCGAAGATCTGCTTAAAGTTTATCTGATATGGAGACTTTCTCCATTATTCATGCTAACGATTTCACATGCTGCACTACATAATCTTGTAACCTTATTCTTTGCCACAATCCCCTCGCTGTAAACTGCCTTTCGAACAATGACTTGATTTTATTTATCCCACTGACTGAATGAGATCTCATAATTTGGCATTGGAAGGATTTGAAGGTTAATACTCAACCTGTTTAGCCACATTGAGATTGCACAATTTTTGGCCCTCAAATCCTGGGTGGGATTTGAACCTGGATGAGCGGAGCAGGAAAGCTGACGTTTCGCGCCTAGGCCCTTCAGAAATCTTCATTTCTGAAGAAGGGTCTAGACCCGAAACGTCAACTTTCCTGCTCCTCTGATGCTGCTTGGCCTGCTGTGTTCATCCAGCTCTACACCTTGTTATCTCAGATTCTCCAGCATCTGCAGTTCCTACTACCTCTGGGATTTGAACCTGATGTTTTTGACTGAGGCAGGGTCAGAGCTTACTACGCTGCAAGACTACCTTGTATAAGGTAGACCAAGACAATCTGTTCTATTCAGCTGATGGTACAAGGAATAGGAGATACTGAATTAAGGTTTTGGACAAGAGGTGCAGGGTGAGTGTGATGGAAAACTTTATTAAACTATATGTGGGAGTGGCCTGGAACTTATTTCTCACATGGCTGATGACAGTGGAAACAATCAATACTTGGAACAGAGGCTGAGGGGCAGGGCGAATTAGTTGAAGTGCACAAAGTTGTGAGGGGACTAGATAGGAAGAACTCATTTCCTTTATCAGAAGGGTCAGTTACCTGTGGCCTAGATTTTGTCAGAAAGTTTGGAAGGCATGTGGTGGAGGGAGGGAGAATCAACCAGACGTGAAGAAGGGCCTAAGTCTGAAACGTCAGGTTTCCTGCTCCTCTGATGCTGCTTGGCCTGCTGTTGTCCATCCAGCTCTACATCTTGTTATCTCAGATTCTGCAGCATCTGCAGTTCCTACTATCTCTGAGACATTGGTAGGGATTTGGTACTTACTGCCTGAAAGGAACAGAATTTTACAGCATGGGAATAAACCCTTTAGTTCATTATGCATATATGGGCATCAAGCACTTATCTACTGTAATCATGTTTTCCAGCACTTGCCCTTTAGCTTGTGTGCTATGGCATTTCCAGCATTCCTGCAGCACAGGAAAGGTCCCCTTGACCCATCAAGTCTCTGCTGGTCAAAAACAACCACCTACCTATTCTAATCCTATTTTCCAGCATTTGGCTTATAGCCTTGTCTGCCTTGATATTGTGAGTATATGTCTACATACTTCTTAAATGTTAGAGAATTGGCTTATGGACAAGAAACAGCAACTGGGATAAGGGTTTTTTTCAGATCGGTGACCAGTGGGGTTTGACAGGGATCAGTCCTGGGGCTGCAACTGTTTACTCATTAAATGACTTGGAGGAAGGGAGTGAATGTACTGTAGTCAAATTTGCAGATAACACAAAAATAAATGGAAAAGCAGGTTGAGAGAGACACAGTTTACAGAGATATTGATAGGTTGAGTAAATGGGCCAAAAGTTGGTAAATGCAGTATAATGTGGGAAAGTGCAAAGCTCTTCTTTTTTGAAGGGCTTCAAAAGAATAGAATATTATTTAAACTGAGGGAAAAACTACAGAAAGCTGCAACACCGGTCTGAAACGTAATCAGGAAGGTTAATAAAATTAGAGACAAAAAAACTGCAGATGCTGGAATCCAAGATAGACAAACAGGAGGCTGGAAGAACACAGCAAGCCAGGCAGCATCTGGCGGAAAGGAGCAGTCAGCGTTTCCGGTGTAATCCTTCTTCAGGACTTCAGAGTGTTGGCCTTATTTCAATGGAGTTGAGCCTAAAAGTAGGAACTGCAATTCTACAAGGTGTTGGTAAGACAACGTCTGGAGTACTGGGAGCAGTACTCATTAGAGGCAGTTGAGAGAAAATTTAATATGATGACCCCTAGTGTGGAAAGGTTGTTATACGAGCAAACGTGAAATAGTTTGGAACTCTGCGTATTGGAGTTTAGAAGAATGAAACGTGATCTCTGGGACTGGACAAGCTAGATGTGGGAAGAATGTTTCCAATGTTGGGGGAAATCTAGAACTAGGGGTCACAGTCTAAAAATGAGGGGTAAGCCATTCAGGACTAAGATGAGGAAGAATTTCTTCACGCAGTTGTGAACCTGTGGAATTCTCTATCTCAGAAAGCTGTTAGAGCCAGTTCATTAGATATATTCAACAGGAAGCTGGACTTGGCCCTTGTCCAAGGGATCAAGGGGTATGGAGAGAAAGTGGGAATGAGGTACTGAAATTGCAGGATCGTGTTGAATAGTGGTGCAGGCTCCAAGGACCAAATGGCCTACTCCTGTACCTAATTTCTATGTTTCAGTGTTTTTATCTCCATGAAAGATGTATGATTCATAAGTGGTTTGACAGGGTGAATGCTGATGGGATGTCTCTCCTCATGGGAGAGTCTGGGACAAGGGGACATAAGCTCAGAATAAAGGGTGCCAATTTAAGACTGAGAATTTCTTCTCTGAGGCTTGAGATTCTGGAACTCTTTGCCACAGAGAGCTGTGAGGGTGGAGATAATGTGTGTAACTAAGACTGAGGCAGGTAGATTCTTAATCAGTTGAGGAGTCAAGGGTTCTGGAAAAGTGCCTCTGCATCACCTGTCATCCTCTTGAATGACGCGACAGGCTCAAGGGGCCAAATGACCTACTCCTGTTCCTATTTCTTATGCTGTTATTTGGCTTCTCCACTGCCTGCTGTACCTGTATGCTTACTTTCAGCAACAGGTATACAAGGACACCCAGGTCTCATTGCATTTCCATCTCTCCCAGTCTATTGCCAGTAAGATAATCTGCTTTCCTATATTTTTCTACCAAAGTTGATCACTTCACATTTATCTATTTTACAATTCATCTGCCATGTATTCACCCAGTCTTGCAACTTGTCCGAATCATACTGAAACATCTCTGCATCCTTCTCTCGATTCACCCTTGCACCTAGTTTTGTGTCATCTCAAACTTAGAGATATTACATTTAGTTCCCTCATCTAAATCATTAATACATAGTGAATTGCTGGGGTCCAAGCACTAATCCCTGCAGTGCCCAACTAGTTACTGTTAGAAAAGCCCGTTTATTCCTCCTCTTTGTTTCCTGTCTGCCAACTGGTTATCCATGTCGGTACGTTACCCTAATTTCCATGCACTTTAGTTTTACATGCTGATCTCATACGTGGGACCTGATCAAAAACCTTCTGAAAGTCGCGGTAAACAACATCGAGTGGCTACCCCTTATCAACTCCACAAATTACATCCTCAAAAAATTCCAGTAGATTTGTCAAGCATGATTACCCTTTTGTAAATGCAAGCTGTCTTTGCCCGGTCCTATTATCCCAAGTGGTCTGCTATTAAATCTTTTATAATGGACTCTTAACATTTTCCCCACCACCAATGTCAGACTAACTGGCTATAATTCACTGTTTTCCCTTTATTTCCTTTTTTAAATACTGGGTAACGTTAGCCACCTTAAATCCATAGCAACCATTCCAGAGCCTATGGAATCTTGGAAGTATTTCTAGGGCCACTTCCTTAAATACTCTGGAATTATGGATTATCAGGGCATGGGGGTCTGTTGACTTCCAGCTCATAAATTTCCCTAACACCATTTACCATTTTCCTACTTGTACTGATTTCCTTCAGCTCGTTCCTCTCACTAGACCCTGTGTTCCCTAACATTTTGGAACATTTGTGTCTTCCTTTGTAAAAACAGAATAAAAAGAAAGTATTTTTAATTGGTCTGCTAACTGTTTGTTCCCCATTATGACTTGAGTGGTTTCTGACTGTAAGTGTCGGACATTTGTCTTCACTTACTTTTTCTCTTCAAATACCTAAGAAGCTTTTAGAATCAGTTTATGTTCTCTGTAATGTTTCTTTCATATCCTATTTACCCTTATTAATCAATCCCATTATTCTCCTTTGCTGAAATCTGAACAGGTGCCAATCCTCAGATTTGCTGCTTTATTTGGCAATTCGTATGTCCTTTCTTTGGATCTAATACAACCCCTAAGTTCCCGTGTTAGCCGTGGTTAGGTCACCTTTCCCTTCTGTACTCAAAGTGAAATAACCCCAACCTATATAGTCTGTCCTCACAGCTGGGATGCTCCAGCTCAGCAACATCCTGGTAAGTTTCCTCTGCACTCTCTTTAATGCAGTCATAGCTTTACAATTGTGCAGTGAGCAGAAATGCACACAGTACTCCAGCTATGGCCTGACTGACAGTTTGTACAGCTGCATCATAACTGCCCTACTCTTATACTCACTGTCTTGAATAATAAAGATGTGTCCCATATGCCACCTTTAATCATCTTTTCAACCTGTTCTGCTGCCTTCAAGGATCTGTGGATCTACGCACTAAGATTCCTGTGGATCGTCTGTATTTCCTAGGATTTTTCCATTCAACATTCCTTGCCTTGCTAGTCCTTCCAAAATGCATCACCTCACATGTTTTCGGATGAAATCCTATTTGCCCTGTTCGTCTTGTCTGGCCAGCCTTTATAGTCTTAGGCGTTCCTCCTTGCTATTTACCATAGCACCAATTTTCGCATTATATGCAACCGTACTGATTATACCTCTCATAACTAGTGTCATTTAAAAGGTGTTTTGGGGTGCACCTGAAGTGCTGTAACCTCCCTGGATGTGGAAGAATGCTAGAAAATGGCATTGGGCTCGGTTGCTCATTTTAGTGCAGTCACCGTGGGCAATTGTGTTGTGAACATTTCTACCTTTTCAAAATGCATGAAGAAGAATGTGCAGGGATTTGAGGAGAGAGAGTGGCAGTATATGAATTTCTCCTCAAGAATACCAGCATGGGCATGATGGGTTGAATAGCCTTCTATTATGTAACTATCCTGTAATTTCAACCGGAAATTGGAAGTGCACTTGAAGGAAATAAACCAGCAGGGCTACAGTAATGGAGCAGGAGAATGGGTCTGGATTACTGTGTGGAGGGTTGCCATGGACTTGATTGGCTAAATGGCCTCCTTCCGTGCTGTACCTCATTTTATGACTGTTTAATCGATAGCGTAATATCTATTACCATTGATCTTTGAATGTGTGAAAAAATGCTTCTGAGATGTTTCTGGCGCAGCAGTACATCAGCTGTAGTTTCCCTCACCTAGGTGCTATTGGAGCTGTGTTTTTGAACTTGACTGCTTCATGTTTACATTACAGGCTGCCCCTGCCCCATTTATTGTTCAAGTTCAGTACATTCTGCATGCCCAGCTGTTCCCTAGATGTATTCCTGTTCTCCCTGCAGACCTTTCCAAACAAAACTGAAGTCATAGCTGGTTCAATGGCATGGGCCAGCGTAAACAACCTTTGCTTTTATAAAATGCAAAGTAAATCGGTGTAAAATGGATGATGTCCCTCATCACCAGAGGCAAGTAGGCCACCTTATTTATATTGCACAGTAAACCCAGAGACAGGTCTGTAATATAAATAAATGCAGGTCAGGGTGTGCCCCTACAGACCTCCCTATATTTTAACAATGTGACTGCAGCATTCTCCAAATCTGAAAAGACAAAGAAATAAATGACTTCAATATCTCCACCCCTCTCCATTCCCTCCACCTCATAGAGTCTTGTCTTGTATTCTCTTCATTGTAGCAAATGAGAGAATCAGCTGAGTTTTTTTTTACCGATGCTGCAACTGAACTTTTTCAGCTGATTGATTGATTTACTGTGCTGTGCCTGGCCTGATAATCTTGTCTGCGGCATTTCTCTCTCCTTGTGGACTGTGGCCCTTCTACTATATGAAAGTCTCCTGGAAGCTGGAAGCTGTAATCTTGGCTGTTCCTGCAGGCACCATGAGGGCAATGTGCATCTGAAGGTGATTAATGATTTAACTGTTCAGGGAAAGGATAAACCCCAGTAAGCAGTTTTACTAGCCTTGTTCAATCCATATGCCTTTTAACTTTCCTATTTGCTACTTTCTCCGCTACAGTAAAGTCCTGCTGTTTGTAGGAATATATTCCCAGAAAACTCTACAAATGTGTTTTATAATAAAGTCAATTGGATAAGTTCCAACCACCAGTTCCAAAATTTTGCTAAATACAATCTTTGATTCATTGAATAAAGTAAATAAATGAATTACTTTAACAACTCCCAAAAAATAAAGTTCAGCTGTAGGTTCAATGAAAGCTGCTAATAGCCTCACTTTGAATCGAAATATTAAGAGATTTCTTCAATATGAGATAACAAGGTGTAGAGCTGGATGAACACAGCAGGCCTGCTGTGTTCATCCAACTCTACACCTTGTTATCTCGGATTCTCCAGCATTGGCAGTTCCTACTGTCTCTCTAAGAGATTTCTTCAGTTTGTTTTAATTAATTTAGTTAATTTTAGACATCTCTTTGTGGATAAAGCTAGATGAAATCTCCTAGTGTATAAATAATGTAACCAGTGACAACTGTGAAAGTTGGCATCCCAATAAGCAATATAGTGTTCAGAATTTTTCTTGCAGGCATGCAGATTCACAAATGGTGAAGATGTGATCAACAGGACTTTGTGTTTGCCAGTTCTATTTATATGTGAGAACAAATGTTAACTGTCAGTGGTAAAAAGAAGCACATTTATATTGCACCTTTCATGTCCTCTTCTTCACAAAGATCTAATGAAGTATTGTTTGCAGTGTGGAAAATATGTTTTAATATAGGAAGTTCAACCAACTTATTTGTGTTTCACAAGTTCCCACCACAGCAATATGATAATGACCATATAATTTGTTCGTATTATTAGTTGAAAGATAAATATTGTTCAAGTAAAAGAACGAACAAGTCCCCTGCTCTTTAACCAGCAAATGCACATGGGGTTGCAGTTTTAACATTTCATTCAAAAAATGGCACGTCTGACAATGACATTCACTCAATATTGCACTAAAAATATTTGCCAGTGGTATTGGGTATCATTCATTCTTTCTCTTTCTATCTCTCCCCCACTCTCTGTCTCTCATCTGCCACCCCACCAACACACACACTCGTATATGCCTGGCAGTCCACCTGACTCCATTCTGGCAGTCTGAGGCTATTTGTGGCTTTCCAACATTCCAACTCCATATGAGACTCGGGCCAAACTGACCATTGAGGTTGTTGATGGATGTTCAACTTCTGTTATTCCCCTCTAAATACATTGTTGCCCAAGAATTTCAGTCATATTTTGCATTATTTCCAGCTCTTAAGTTACAGCTGAGATAAAATCCATCCTTTGCTCTCTGCAAATTTTGTTACCGTATTATTGGAGCTCTGGCTATAGCTGTTAAACATGTGCCTACAGTGAATCAAATGATGGGTGGACTGGAGTACATGACTAGAAGTTGCTTCTTTCTCCCATTCAAACTTCTGAGTTTTCTCTCGTAAACATGCTGATCTGCTCTCTGGATCAAGGCAGCTCAGCAGCTGCCCTTTTTTGGGTTTTGTTGAGCTATTTAACCATAGGAAGTGTCTCGGTTGATTCCAGTGCTCCACTAACATCTTTGCATCAAAAATCATCTTTGTCCACCAATTAATAGAAATATATTGATGATCATGACTAGTGTGTGCAAAGTCCACAGATTGCTGGAGGACTACTGGAGTCCGTGGAGCATTACTGTTCAAAATAAAAACCAAAAGAACTGTAGATGTTGTAAATCAGAAATAAAAATGGAAATTGCTGGAAAAGTTCAGCAGATCTGGCAAAATCTGTGGGGAGAAATCAGAGTTAATGTTTCGTCCGCAGTTCTGAGGAGGGGTCAGTCGATGCGAAACATTAACTCTGGTTTGTCTCTACAGATGCTGCCAGACCTGCTGAGCTTTTCCAGCAATTTTGAGTTTTACTGTTCCTCTCTATTCCTTCTCCCACAGGAATATGAATGTTTAGCAGAGGATAGAAAGAAAAATGTTGCCAGTTGGTAGAATAAAGTAGAATAGAGGCAAAGCCTATGTCATGAAAGGATTCTGTCTAGTGTGTTTCAGTGCAGTCATGATTTGTTTAGCAGTTCATCAGGATTAGATTGCCAAGTGTGATTCTCTGATGTTATTAGAAGTACTGGATCAAATTTAGCATTATTTATTGGGTGGAAATTTACCATTTTTCATGCATGACTAAGAATGGTGTTATCTCAATGAAAAGTGTCCTCTTTGCCCCTTCCATCTCCCTGCAGACAAAGTATTACCTCATTATTGGAATCACATTTACTTCTGGCACACTAGGCATATAATCTGCATTTATGTGTGACTTGTGAGTCTATTCGATTCATGCAAGAGTGCATCCCTGTTCTCAACTGATGCTCTCAGAGTTGCTCTGGAAGTTGTTATTAATAGTCTGTACCAAGAACATGACCCAAATGCTCCTAGTTTCAGCTATTTATGGGGCTGTACCACACATTGAGCGAGTGCATAGACACGAGAAACTTGATTAAAATCCTACTATATTATACACAATGGCTACAATCAAATTTTTCAGTCTGACAAGAGCAGATATGTGTCTTTCCTTGTACTCTACACAGAATAGTAACTCAACCTTTCTACTCCCATATTAGAAAGAAAATGTTCCTGGTTGGCCTGACAGGTGGGATTGCTTCAGGGAAAAGCACAGTTGCTGCTGTGTTCCGTGAACTTGGGTGTCCGGTTGTGGATGCTGATCAGATAGCAAGACAGAGTAAGTTTTGAATATCACAGAAACAAGCTTTTTATTATGTGAAACTACTGTGAAATGTAAAGATTGTTGTTTCTCTTTGTAGAAGTTGCCCTCCCTATCGAAATGCCAAGGTCCTTTTAAGATACTTGGTTCACAAACAGGCTGGAAAAATTAAATGCTTAGTTTGGAGGAGTTATTGCTTTAACATATCTTCAAGCTTAGCTATCGAATTGACTTCCATTGCAGTGATAGTTAAGGTACAGTTCTTGTATCGGTCTAATACATACTAAGATTTAAAAGGGCAGCACAGAATCTGTCCTGTAAGTTACTAACAATATACCTCCTGGAAAGAAACAGAACAGCACAAGATATTTGGCTAATTTTGTGCGAACAAACATGGAGATAATAATTCATTTTTTGAAAATCAAATAGTCATTCCTTTCCAGTCTGATTAGAATCTGTACATGGGTGGCTGCATAATGCGTATCAAATAAAGAAACTTATCCCATTTTGTACCTGTCCTGGGAGCGTTTGTTGCAAAAGCCCAAAGATAACTTTACCAAACCTGTGCTGTATCTGCCCTGGGAGTGTTTGATTTCATTTTAAGTGAGAGCTTTACTCTATGGCTAACATATTGTGTTCAGGAGTGTTTAGTTGTGAGATATTGTAAACTATGCAGTATCTGCATTCTAGACATGGTGAAGAAATCTTAGTCCCATGCAGTAACTGGGCATTGAAGAGGGACTTTTTCTTTTAAAACAAATTGTACCTGCCTTAGGAGTGTTTAATGAGACAGTTCTGAGAGAAATTTACTAAACGTATCAAAAGAACAATTTCAAAGTTGGTAAAAATAATTAGTATTGAGAAAACTGACAACAAAATGAGAAATGACATTAAGATTGCAGACTGGCCATGTTATTGACAAATTAATTTCATTGTAGGTAATTGTGTGATATTGCTTTTTATTAGGAAGAATAAAGAGACCACCTAATAGTTGCAAAACATTTAAAATTTTTTCCATGAGCAAAGAGGTCAAGAGGTTCATTCACAAACCACTAAAAGTAGCAAGGAAGGCTAATAAGGAAATTAAGTAAGACAAACAAAGCACTGGGGTTTGTTTCTTTGTATTAAAAAATATACTTTATTCGTAAAAATCATTTGCAAGTACATACAAAGGTTCTAAATCATATCTGTACATTCTTTGCAGAGGAAAAAAGGCACACAAAACGTTGGAACTTTGACATTTCACAGAGATTGTCTACTGTTGCACAAAAACCAAAACATTTCCTAATTATGCAGGAAACTATTTATGTTCATTCTCGGGCGCTGGGAAGGTCTGATAAGTGAATAGACCCTCGTTATTCTTTGGCTGAAAGACGTAGGACAGACTTTTTCCAATGCGTCTTGGCAGTAGCTGCCCAAGGCTTTAGCGCGTCCCTCAGTACGTAATCCTGGACCTTGTAGCATGTCAGTCTGCAACACTCAGTCAAGAAGGGAGCAAGGGATAAATGCATGCGGGAATTTATTAAAAGAATTGCTGAAGTCCAGGTGGACTACATCAAAAGCATTGCTGTCATCTGGTCACTTCATTGGAAAAATTCAATCAAGAGAGGGAGGGGGAGGATCCAGTTGTTGTGGTCCACGTAGGTACCAACAACATAGGCAGGACTGGGAAAAAAGACCTGTTTCGGGATTATGAAAAGCTGGGAACAAAATTAAAAAAACAGGTCTTCAAGGGTCATAATCTCTGGATTGCTGCCCAAGCCACGTGCAAATTGGCATAGGGAGGCGAGGATCAGGGAAGTAAACACGTGGCTAAAAGAGTGGTGTGGGAAAGAGAGTTTCATTTTCATGGGGCACTGTCATCAGTTCTGGGACAGGAGGGATCTATATCGCTGGGATGGACTCCACCTGAACAGGGCCGGGTCCAGTGTTCTGGCGAAAAGGGTAAATAGGGTGGTTAATAGGACTTCAAACTAGTAAGTAGGGGGGAAGGGAGAAGTGAGCGTAGAGGGAGGATAACAATTAATGTAAGGCAAAGTAGCAGGTGACGAGGAAGCTTCAACTCCATTGAAAATTAAGAAAAAAGTTAAAGGGAAGGAGAACTCAAGAGCTGTTAGTAATGGAGGTAATAGGACCCAAAAAGAAGGTGCAAAAACTGGCATAAGGGCACTTTATCCGAATGCTCGGAGCATTCGAAACAAGGTGGATGAGTTGACGGTGCAAATCATGGCAAATGGGTATGATTTAGTGGCCATTACAGAGACATGGTTACAGGATAGTCATGACTGGGAGTTAAATATCCAGGGGTATCAAACTGTTCGGAAGGACAGACAGGAAGGTAAGGGAGGTGGTGTTGCTCTGATTTTTAAGGATGATGTCAGAGCGGAAGTGAGAGATGATATAGGTTCTACTGAACAAAACGTTGAATCCATTTGGGTGGAAATTAGGAATAGCAGGGAGAAGAAGTCACTGATAGGTGTGGTCTATAGGCCACCAAATAATGACATCGTGGTGGGGCGGGCAATAAACATAGAAATAACTAATGCATGTAAAAATGGTACAGCAATTATCATGGGGGATTTTAATCTACATATCAATTGGTCAAACCAGATCAGTCATGGCAACCTTGAGGAGGGGTTCATAGAATGCATCCGCGATAATTTCCTTGAACAATATGTAATGGAACCTATGAGGGAGCAAGCTATCCCAGATCTAGTCCTGTGTAATGAGACAGGAATAATGAATGATCTCACAGGTAGGGATCCTCTCGGAAGGAGCGATCACAGTATGGTCAAATTTAAAATACAGATGGAGCGTGAGAAGGTTAAATCCAGTACCTATGTCCTGTGCTTAAACAAAGGAGACTATGAAGGAATGAGGGAGGAGTTAGCTAAGGTAGAATGGGAGCAAAAACTTTATGGTGGGTCAATTCAGGAACAGTGGAGAACTTTCAAAACAATTTTTCACAGTGCTCAGCAGAAGTGTATTCCAGTGATAAGGAAGAACTGTAGGAAAAGAGAGAGCCAGCTATGGTTGTCTAAGGAAATAAAGGAAAGTATCAGATTGAAAAAAAAACATACAAAAAAGCAAAGAGTAGTGGGAAACTAGTAGACTGGGAAATCTTTAAAGGCCAACAGAAAGCCACAAAAAAAGTTATAAAGAAAAGTAAGATAGATTATGAAAGTAAACTAGCTCAGAATATAAAAACAGGCAGAAAGAGTTTATAAATATGTAAATCGTAAAAGCGTGGCGAAGGTAAACGTTGGTCCTTTAGAGGATGAGAAGGCCAATTTAATAACTGGGAATGAGGAAATAGCCGAGACATTAAACAGTTAGTTTGTGTCGGTCTTCACACTGGAAGACACCAATAACATGCCGAAAACTAATGGCAAGAAGGTTACAGCAGGCGAGGACCTACAAACTATCATTATCACTAAGGAGGCAATGCTGGGCAAGCTAATAGGGCTAAAGGTAGACAAGTCTCCTGGCCCTGATGAAATGCATCCCAGGGTACTAAAAGAGGTGATGGGGGTAAAAGCAAATGCACTAGTAATTATTTACCAAAATTCACTGGACTCTGGGGTGGTTCCCGCAGATTGGAAAACAGCCAATATGACGCCACTGCTTAAAAAAGGAAGTAGACAAAAAGCAGGTAACTATAGGCCAGTTAGCTTAACTTCGGTAGTGGGGAAAATGCTTGAATCTATCATTAAGGAAGAAATAGCAAGACATCTGGATATAAATAGTCCTATTGGGAACACCCAGCATGGGTTCATGAAGGGTAGGTCATGTTTAACAAATTTGGTGGAATTCTTTGAGGACATTACTTGCATGGTGGACAATGGGGAACCTGTGGATGTGGTGTATCTGGATTTCCAGAAGGCATTTGACAAGGTGCCACACCAAAGGCTGCTACATAAGATGAAGTTGCACGGTATTACAGGTAATGTATTGGCATGGATAGAGGATTGGTTGACCAGTAGAAAGCAAAGAGTAGGGGTAAATGGGTGTTTTTCTGGTTGGCGGTCAGTGGCTAGTGGTGTGCCTCAGGAATCAGTGTTGGGACCTCAACTGTTTACAATTTACATAGATGATTTGGAGTTGGGGACTAAGTGTGGTGTGTCAAAATTTGCAGATGACACTCAGGTGAGTGGTAGAGCAAAGTGTACAGAAGACACTGAAAGTCTGCAGAGGGATATAGATAGTCTAAGTGAGTGGGCAAAGGTCTGGCAGATGGAGTACAACGCTGATAAGTGTGAGGTCATCCATTTTGGTAGGAATAACAGCAAAATGGACTATGTTTTAAATGGTAAAAAATTGCAGCACGCTGCTGTGCAGAGGGACTTGGGTGTCCTCGTGCATGAATCGCTGAAGGTGGGATTGCAGGTGCAGCAGGTGATTAAAAAGGCAAATGGAATTTTGTCTGCCATTGCTAGAGGGATGGAGTTTAAAAACAGGGAGGCTATGCTGCAGCTGTATAGGGTCTTGGTGAGGCCACACCTGGAGTACTGTGTGCAGTTTTGGTCTCCTTACTTGAGAAGAGATATACTAGCACTGGAGGGGGTGCAGAGGAGATTCACTTGATTGATTCCAGAGTTGAGAGGGTTGGATTATGAGGAGAGACTGAGTAGACTGGGATTATACTCATTGGAATTCAGAAGAATAAGGGGAGATCTTATAGAAACATATAAGATTATGAAGGGAATAGATAAAGTGGAGGCAGGGAAGTTGTTTCCGCTAGCAGGTGGAACTAGGACCAGAGGGCATAGCCTCAAAATAAAGGGAAGCAGATGTAGGACTGAGGTCAGGAGGAACTTCTTCACCCAAAGGGTTGTGAATCTGTGGAATTCCCTGCCCAGTGAATCGGTTGAAGCTCCCTCACTGAATGTTTTTAAGGCAAGGCTAGATAAATTTTTGAACAGTAAAGGAATTAAGGGTTATGGTGAGTGGGCGGGTAAGTGGAGCTGAGTCTCAAAAAGATCAGCCATGATCTTATTAAAGGGCGGGGCAGGCTCGAG